GCAGAAAAATCTCTAAGCCCAGAAAAGAGCAAAATTTACACAAACTTAAAAGCAAATGCTCTTTCCCTATTCCCACTCACAATGAACAAACTAACTAGAATCCACTATGGAAAAGCTCCTTTTTAAAAGATACTTTTAAACTTCCTTAATTTTCTATGTTTTTTAACACTTGTCCTTCATGTTATTTTGGGGATAATGAATGGTGTTTATTCACCTGATATAATTAGTAAAATGTTGGTTTGTTCATGCTGGAGACCAAAAAGTGGTAACAAAGAATCATTGGATAGATTCCATGTCAGTGAAATATCTAGATGCTGTAGTCTACATGTCATGTAAGGGATACAGTTTTTTCACTTTGTTTGTCAGTAGTCTCATATTTTGCCTTTCAGAATGGAGCTGTCCATCTTTCTAGTATCATGTTGGTGCATACCTGTTGAAAGTGAAGTTCTGGTCTGAAAATGCAGAAATCCCATTGTGTAGGGTTCATGCATGTACCCCCATGATTTTGAGACAATATTTGTGCAGTTGAAAAGTCACAAGGTGTGGAACTACACCTTTTAATAAATGTATAGTATCTTCAGTGTCCAAATTTCAAGTTGGTGATGTAGAGACAGAAGAGGACATCTTTCAAAAAGGAGCTTGTGATTTTGGATTCTGCAGTTGGGTTCCAACTTGAGACTTCTCACAGGTCTGATTTCCAGATAGGGCTGGGCACCAATCTTCTGACAGTCATGCCATTTTTCACACTTCCCTTTAAGAGTAAAGCTGTTTTAAGGATCCCTTTTTTTTTTTTTTAAGGAATCCATTCTTTACCAGCCACATAGCTAGGCATTTCATGTTAAGGAAGCATCACAAGATATTTTTACCTTAGGTTCGTCCCTCGGCCACCAGCTAAATTCATCTGATGGACACTTACTATTGCATCAGTGTTGCTCCCCAGATTTCTGCCTTCACCTGGAAAAAGCAGAGCTTGCTCCAGAGCTATCCCTAAGGACTTGGCTTGCAAGAGTATCTTCTGCCAGCAGTTCACTTACAGTATAGTAGAGAGATGAAATGTTAAGAGGCCTTCAGGAAAAAGTGTTACGTCTCATTGCCTAGTGAGTTCTTCCCAATGGCTTTTTTTAAGAATCAGCAGCAGGCCCCAGGGGTAGCACCAGAGGGCTTCCGCTGTCAGCATCTCACCCCACAGATCATTTCCAGCTTTGAAGATATAAAGTGCTGTATGAAGGCTACATATGATCTGTAATGAGTAGCAAAAGTGGATGCAGGGAGCTTTTTATTTAAATAACTTGGAATATAGGGAAAATACAGAATCAGTCTTTCAGATCTGCTCTGGTAGGATCTGTACATGTGTGCAACACTTAGTTTCTTGGGGCCATGGTTTGCTTTAATAATTCACAACTTGTGCTCAGCAACCTGATTTTCCAAGATAAATGTGAATATGTAATATTTAGAGACACTGGATACCCAGTCAAATTTAGTGGGAGAAAATGGTGAAGCAGAATCAGTCTAGCTTGAAGTTGTTCCAGAATTTGGTCAGCTGTTTGTATACAAGGTCCTTAGAAATGGATTTTATTTAAAAAATGCCACTTCAAGGAGTAAAGATGAAGGTTTTCCCCTACATTTTAATGAAATCTCCTGGTTTTAGTTGATAAGCCTATAAAACAGAAGTGTTCTAGCTAATGGTGCTAGCTACTTAGGGTATTAATGTGTGTCCTGGTCTGTAAAATGTGCATTTATCAAGGGAGCATCTTTCAGTTAAAACCTATCAGCTGAAGAAAGGGGGAAGAACATGCTGAAGTTATTGACTGGTGGTTGATAAGGGCACAAGTTGAATTCCTTTTTTCTCAAACCACTGCTTCCCTGGGATCAATAGATTAGGCAGGCTAGTGCTGGAAGTGCCATTAAGATATTGTGAACTGGGTAAAATTCAATTCTGTACTTTTCCCCTCCGCATCACCCTTTTGTAAGTCTCCCACAGATGGCCTGCTCTTCTAGTGACTGAATTCAGCGCAGGGAGAGGAGCCAGAAGGAAATTAGCCCTTCCTGCCTGTCACTACATAGAAGGCACTGTTTGCAGAAATTGCTGGTTCAGCAAAGTAAACAACAGGATAAACCAACACAGGCAGAACAGGAGGACTTTCCAAAATGTTTGTGAATAGGAGGAGGCTGCAGGTGATGAAATATTGCATGAATTTTCTCTGGCAAGTTGTCTTACGCATTAGGAAGGCTGGCCTGGCATGAAGGGCAAACCAGAAGTGTTGATGGCTTTTTAACAGCTAGCCGCAAAGATCTGAGTACCTGGAAGTGCTCTCCCTGCTTCTTGCACTGTGCGCTATCCATTCAGTCTGTTGCCATCATAGACAGTATACCAGTTAGGCTTTTGTAGCTGACAGAGAGAGATGGCTTTTTCCCCCCCTGCTTATAGCCATTCTGGTGTTAATAGATCAGCTTCCCAAATCAAATAATGTGTGAAAGGGGGTACTACCTTTTGTCATCTTTCTGCCTGTTGTATTCAACATGCTTGTATCAAAATCCTGGGGTTTCAGATATCATCTTTCATTTTGGTTATTGTGGGGAAGAATTACTAGACAAGATTCTTTTCCTGGCTGGTGAGCAGAGCTGACCGCCAGAAAGAAGCAAAATAGATTTGTGCTGTGGTCCTTTTAAAATTTTTAAATGACAGCCTGCAGTGTCTGAGAAGGGCAGGTATGTCTTTCAAAAATAATACCACATCTTCCAAATTGTTTCCATAAGGGTGAATCTTTCACAAGCAGAGTAAAGCAGACCCCTTTTGACTGAATTGGAGGTCTTGCAATGTAAAGGCTTCATAGCTTTGCATTCTTCCTTTCATATTTACTTTCTATTTTTGCTTTGTAGATGATGATACTTCTCAATTTGCAAAACCAAGAGTTATTTTTTACATGAAAAGTGAAATATAGTGCAAATATTTTTCAGCAAACTCCTCTCCACTCTGACTCCTTGTGGCAGCACTCATCAGGTTGCTTTGTA